CAAACATAGACAGTTTTATTCTTCCCAACCTGTATACTTTTTAATTTCTGTTTCTTGTCTTACTGCATTAGGTAAGACTTCTACTACAACATTGGAAAATAGCAGTGAGAGAAGAGATCTTTGCTTTATGCCTGATCTTAGCAGGAAAGCTTCGAGTTTTCCCAGCTTTAAGTAAGGTGTTAACTGTGTGATGTTAACAGATGCCCTTTATGAAGTGGAGGGAGTTCCCCTCTGTTCCTAGTTTGATGCAAGTTTTTATCATTAAATTAATTAATGTGAAAGGCAGAGAGAGAAAGCTCTCATTCACCGGTTCACTCCCCAAATGCTCACTAGGAACTGGGACCTTAGTCCAGGTTTCCTACATGGGCGGCAGAAACCCCGTCACTTAAGATGCCACTCCTGCCTCCCAGTGCCTGCACTGAGTCAGGCGCTAAAGGTAAGAAGGGAGCCCAGCACTCCGGTGTGAGACACGGGCATCTCTATCTCTACTGCCCTCCTTGGAGAAGAGAATCCAGAATGTCCCCCGAAACCACAAGGCCCCTTCAGCGATTCTCAGAACAGGGCTGAGTGTGGGCCCTGAAGGAAATCAAATCCTGAACGTGCAGCACTGGGCCAGCCAAATGAACTGTCAGTCACGTCTGGGTGTCATCCGACACAGAGTCACAACGCTGGCCTGGGCAACAGTCTCCAGTATAAAATGGAAATGCTGCACCCGAACAGGTACTAATGCTCAAGAAAACTTCACGAGTGGGTGACCCCCAGTTCTTGCTTCTACAGCTTCGCCTCTGGCCTCCCGGGGTGTTGCCTATGCCTGGTTGCCAGAGAAGGGAAAAGTAGAATCTTGATTGGCAAACGGGGTCAAATGTGGACAGCTGCTGTTTTACATCTCCCAGGAGGAGCGAGTCTGAAACGCGGAGGTGAGAGGAAATCCTCCCAAAAGGCCCAGTTCTAAGCAGGACATTTGCTGCCCACTCAGTGCAGAAGGAGCACTGCCCTGCGGTGTGAAGCCAGGCCAATTTGTGGTCAATAGTTAATGGATTGGAAGACTGGTTGTTCATTCATGAAGAACAAACTTGGAAGACTGGTGATGAAGAGGGTTGCAAAGAAATGTGTGAATGGACCTCTTTTATGTTTTTTTTTTTAATTATCTGATAGGTAGAGAGACAAAGAGACAAAGAGACAGAGATCTCCCACCAACTGGTTTACTCCCCAAATGCCTGCAGCAGCCAGGGCCAGGACCCGAGAACTCATTCTGAGCCACCGAGTGGGTGACAGGGACCTGAGTAGCTGAGCCATCACGTCTGCCTCCCAGGGTGCACGTTAGCAGGAAGCTGGAATTGGAAGTAGAGGCGGGACTCAAACGCAGGTACTCCAATATGGGATGCAGGTGTCCCAAGAGGCATCTTGACTGCCATGCCCTATGCCCACCCTAACCTCTTAAAATGGGCCTAAAAATGTACTTATTTGTTTTTTAAAAAGATTTTATTTATTTATTTATTTGAGAAGTAGAGTTACAGACAGTGAGAGGGAGAGACAGAGAAGAAGGTCTTCTTTCCGTTGGTTCACTCCCCAATTGGCCACAATGGCCGGAGCTGCGCCGAGCCGAAGCCAGGAGCCAGGTACTTCTTCCTGGTCTCCCACATGGGTACAGGGGCCCAAGCACCTGGGCCATCTTCTACTGCTATCCCAGGCCATTGCAGAGAGCTGGATCAGAAGAGGAGCAGCCGGGACTATAATCAGTGCCTATATGGGATGCCGGTGCCACAGGTAGAGGATTAACCTACTGTGCCATGGCGGTGGCCCCTTGTTTTTTTGTTTTGTTTTGTTTTGTTTTGTTTGTTTTTTTAAATAGGATTTTATTCAAACTTTAAGATTATTTTGCCTCTGAAACATTTGTGTTTTGAACCATCTTTTTTTTTTTAAAAGATTTATTTTATTTGGAAGTCAGAGTTACACAGAGAGAGGAGAGGCAGTGAGAGAGAGAGAGGCCCTCCATCCGCTGGTTCACTCCTCATTTGGGTGCAACAGCCAGAGCTGCACCGATCCAAAGCCAGGAGCCAGGAGCTTCTTTTGGGTCTCCCATGTAGGTGCTGGGGCCCAAGGATTTCGGCTGTCTTCTACTGCTTTCCCAGGCCATAGCAGAGAGCTGGATCAGAAGTGGAGCAGCTGGGCCAGGAACCAGCACCCATATGGGATGCCGGCACTGTAGGTGGCAGCTTTACCTGCTATGCCACAGTGCCGGCCCTGAATGTACTTATTTGTAAGTCCTGTGAATGTTCACCAAAGGACACCCCCTGTAGAGGGGGCCTCCGGGGCCTAGAGACAGGATAACCCACTGTGGCTCACAGTGTGTTCCTTCCCTCAAACACCTACAATTTTTCTTAAATTTTTAATTTTCTCAATTAAGACACAGAGAGACAGGAGAGGGAGGGAAATAGGGAGGGAGAGGGCGAGGGTGAGATGCTGGTTCATTTCCCAAATCCCAAATCCTAAATGTCCACAACAGCCAGGGCTGGAGCTGGGGTCCCGCTGGAGCTGGGAGTCAGGACTTCTGACTTGGAAGTATAGCAGGCAGATGGAATGATAGATGTGCCCAAGAGACATGAAGAGAAACATCATCAGGAATAAAGACCAGACACTATAGCCTGTGGCCTGAGACCTGCATGGTAAATGAATCAAAGAAAATGCACGGCAGGAGAACAGTAGGATAGAGAAAAGACAGCACAGGTCTCCGGTACGGGAAACAGGAACCCAATTACTTGAGCCATTGTCACTGCCTCCCAGGGTCTGCATTGGCAGGAAGCTGGAGTCAGGAGCTGGAGCCTGGAATCGAAACCAGCCACATCAGTGTGGGATGTGAGTGTCCTCACTGCTGGCCTCCCTGCCCCGCCCCCGAGGTCACTTAGTGAGCCCATGAACAAAATGGCAGCGGGGCAAGGATAGAATTTATATCTGAGGGCACCAGTTCAGGTCCCTCTCATCAAGAGGAATCCGACTATTGTCACTGTGGAGCGTCCAGTGTCCCCACAGCACAGGTCAACATTGAGGCTTTTGACAACACCTATTTTAGGAAGATCAGCCAGCCTCCATGTGTCAGGTTGACTATACTGGGCCATAGTTTGTCTTCAAGGGAATGGGTATTTATTCCAGATAAGGGTTTGCCTTTATTTGTCTACAGTGCACCTGACAGCACCACAGTTCGTGGACTTAGAGAATGTCCTACAACCCTCATAGCACAAAATATTGCCTGTGGTCAAGAAGTTCATTTTATGGCAAAGGGACTGGAGTGTTGGGCTCATGTCCACGACATTCACTGGTTGCACTCTGTGCCACACATCACCCAGAATCAATTGGCCTGATTAAAGGCCAGGGAAGTTACAGATGCTCCTCAGCTTAGGAGTGGGTGGTGACCAGATGGACCTATTGTAAGTGAAAAATACCAGGAGTCAAAAATACATGCTATACCCTGTCAACGGCAGCTGTAGGACGCGGTGAGCATCTCACGAGCCTCCTCTCTGCCCCTGCTTCCGGTCTTTTCCTGTCTCTTGTCATTATAGCTCCCTCAGTCCTTGAAAAGCAAACCAACCACAATGCTGCCAACGCGGCTTTACACCCATAAACATGATGATCACTCCCTCTGCACAGATGAGCCACCCAGAAGGTGGGTGTGCTTATTACCTTAGCCATGGGGCTGGCCCCATGGCGCAGTAGGTTAATCCTCCGCCCATGGCATCCCTTATGGGTGCTGGTTCTAGTCCCAGCGGCTCCACTTCCAGTCCAGTTCTCTGCTGTGGCCTGGGAAAGCAGTGGAAGATGGCCCAAGTCCTTGGGCCCCTGCACCCATGTGGGAGACCCGGAAGAAGCTCCTGGCTCCTGGCTTTGGATCAGTGCAGCTCTGGCCATTGTGGCCAATTGGGGAGTGAACCAACAGAAGGAAGACCTTTTTCTCTGTCTCTCCCTCTCATTGTCTATAACTCTACCTCACAAATAAATAAATAAAATTCAAAAAACAAAACAAAACAAAACAAAACAAACTTTAGCCACGCCCCTTTCCTGATTCTGGAAACCACGGGCTGTGTCCTAAGCAATGGATTATAGTCCTTCCCTGTTTGGTCTCAGAAGCAGTTCATGGTCCACAAGGAGGCAGCATTGTACCAGGAGCTTGGAGCCAATTGGTTCTGGGGTCTGGATCTACATACCAGCTGTATGGACTTGAGTGTCATTTCTCAGCTCACTCTTCTGTGAAATGGGGATACTAACACACCTATCTTAATGATAACATGGGAAACATGTGAGAGGAAATATATTAAAACACAAAGCACTGTTCCAAAGGAGGGAAATGAGACCTTAGAAATACCAGGGTTGGCACTGGTGTCAAGCTCCACCCCCATCCTAATGGGATTCGCTGCTTCTACTTCCTTGCCAGCACCCTGGCAAAGTTTTAAAAGGACCTGTTCCTGAACATGGGGCTCATTTTCTTTCCGTCTCCTGATCTCTTTCCCTCTCTCTCTCTTGATCTCTCTCTTACGCTCTCCTTCTTCACCCCTTCCCTCTGGCCTGTCGGGTTTCCCCCAATAAACACTTTCCCTTAAAAAAAAAACAAACAGGATTGGTTTGTGTTTTTTGTTTTTTGTTTTTTCCATCTGTACCTAATGTACAATGTATTTCCTATCAAAATTGATTTTGGGCAATTTGACCTTTGAAGATGTTTTTGTGTTCCCAGCAAGTCGTGCCTATGTGAACGTGTGGGCACATACACCTGCTCTGTGTGTGAGTATGCCCGGGTGGGTGCATTTGCATGCCTATCTTTGGGATGCCAAGGAAATTAAATTTGATTCAGGTAATTCTCCTGTATATTAGTTTTTAAGCCATTAGCAAGTTTTCCTTAAACCCTCACCCTATGTGCTTTAGATGCCATGAGGCATAAATCAGTACAAGATGTGGCTTCTGCCTCTGAAGATTTACCAGGCAAGACTCTTTTTTTAGAACATATATTTGGAATTAGCCAGCTGGATTCAGTTTAGTTTAGTTGCCCATTTTGCTGGCAACATGCAAAGCATCATAATCAGGAGCCATGGAACACATGCTGCCTTCTCTCTGTTGGGTCTGATCAGGGCGTTGACCTTGACCCCATCCATGACACTGAGTCCTTCACAGCCTCTTTGATCTGGGCTTGTTGGGCTTGGCATCCACAGTGAACACGCGTGTGTTGTTGTCTTCTATCTTCTTCACAGCAGACTCAGTTGTCGGGGGGAACGTGGTGATGGCACAGTGGTCAAGCTTGTTTCTCCTGGAGGTGTTGTTCTGAGGATATTTGCACAGCTGCCAGAGGCGTAGTGTCTTGGCCACTGGAACGTGGGTGACATGCAGCTCTTCTTTTTTATTTATTTATTTTTGATGGCTATGGACACCTTTTGGCATTGCCTTCTTGGCCTTCAAAGCCTTGCTTTGGCTTCAACTTTGTGAGTGGTGGGAGCTTCCTTCTTTGCTTTCAGGGCCATCTTGGCGAAAAGGGTTATGGGCAGTCCCAGCTCTACAGCTTCCCAGTGTGCAACCAGGGAAGAAAGAGGGCTCTTCTCCAAGTTCTAGTGAGCAATATCCCATGGAAAAACTTTGATGGGCGAGGCGTAAGTCACACGCCCATTCCTGATCCAATCCCATGTCCTTGGGAATTGCAACCCTACTTCTGCCACTCACTGGTAGCCAGGTGCAGGATGTCGTGAATGGCAGGTTCATGTGGCTGGGGGACAGGACAGCTTCCCAAGGGGAAGAAGCTGTTGCTGTGGGCAAATACTCATCTCCTAGTTGGATGTACATTACATTTTTCTGTGGAGGAGGTGTGTGAGTCAGTTAAGTGATTAGTAAGCAAGTATTTTTTAAATTCTACTTTGATAGTTGTATTTTACCTAGTTAAAAGAAATTGTTCAAGACTCAGCTTTGACTCACATCAAACTGAGGGGAGAAGGTGCCCTGGGGGAAGCTGGTTAACTATGCGACCACCCCAAACTCCACAGGTGAGCAGGGTGTGGTTTCCACCCAGGGCCAAGGAAGGGAGCTCTAGGCTGAGCCTGCAGCGGATAGCCTGGGGTTGTATCAGAGAATCAGAGTGGTAGGAGACACACATGAGCAGAACTGGCTCATTTGATTATGGAGACAAAGAAGTCCCCTGATCTGCTCTCTGCAAGCTGGGAAACCAGGAAAGCCCTTGGTGTTACTCAGTCTGGGGGGACCACTGGTGTGAGTCCAGGATCCAAGCTCAGGTGGTCTGATGCCTGAGGGCAGCTCTTCCTCTGCCTTTTGTTTCCATCTGGGCCACCGACAGATGGAATGGTGCCCACCACACCAGGTGAGGGCAGGTGTGCCCTCAGTCACTGACCCAAAGGCTGATCTCTTCCAGCAACCCCAACACTCACCCGCAAGGCATGTTTGGCCATCCCTTAGCCTGGTCCACTTGACGCTATGGAATTAACCGTGTCTACCGTGCTGGGGTGAGGGATAGGCAGAGGGCTGCCAGGGGCCAGAGAGACACACAGGCTCAGCACTTCTGGCTGTCCTGGTGACCAGAGGGCAGCTCATCCCCCCCCCCCCACCCCATTTCCTCCAGGCCACTGTCAGACTAAGTCTTTTGGTGGAGGAATGCTTCATAGATAGGGCACCCCGGGGGGTCACATCATAGAATGCCGATGTTGAGTCCTTGGCTGGGGCGGGGGCGGGGGCGGGGGCGGGGGCGGGGGAGGTCTTTTTGAACAACACACCATGCAACTTTCCTTGGAGGGCCTTCAGCAGCTGTAACTACAGTCTGGAACCTGGGCGGGTGGGAGTAGGATGTTGTGCCAATTAGCTGTGGTTTACTGCTGGATACAAGAGGTCACTCCAGAAGGGAGGACCTGCAGAGAGTTTAGAATCTCTTTCCCCGCTCAGAAGTGTGCGGCTCTCCTTGAGCAGAGTTGTCTGGGTTGGGGGAGTGGCGGTGGGAATCAGGTTTGGAATCACTGTTCAAGAAGATTGCAGTACCGTGCAAGCCGGGGCCCGGCTCGGGACGGGGAGTCGGGGAGATGCTGTGCTGTGCGCAAGCGCCAAGGCTGGTACCCCAGGACGCGCGAGAGCAGCTGCCCCCTGCTCGTGCTCAGAAGAGAGCCTCCGCCTGGGAAGCCTCCGTCCATCCCGACTGAGCAAGCGGTGCCATCCTGCGTCCTCACCGCAAGAGACCGGGATGGCGGTTCCTCTGCTTGTGGGCCACCTGCCCCATCGTCCCCATGCAAAGAGCTCGCGGAAAGGCTTGTAGTGCTCTGTGCCATGCTTCATTCGGGAGAAGAATCACAACCCAGGTGCCGACAGAACAGTCAATGTCCCGGCCGCCTCCGGGACGTCACTGCTGCGATTGTGCGCTTAGAGATGACAAAACTGAGGGCCCCGTAGCTCAACGGATGTGCTCAGCTCCAAAACCAGAAGCTGGCCAAGTTGAACTGCAGACTCCGACGCCTGCCGTGTAAAGTGTGGTTAAAATGAGCGGTTGGGTGAGATCTAGGGGGTATGTGTGGTGTGGTATGTGCAGGACGTGTTCTTTTTTTTTTTTTTTTTTAAAGATTTATATATTTTACTTGAAAGTCACAGTTGCACAGAGAGAGAAGGACAAGCAGAGAGAGAGAGATCTTCCATCCACTAGTTCACTCCCCAAATGGCCGCAATGGCCGGAGTTGCGCCGATTCGAAGCCAGGAGCCAGGAGCTGCTTCTGGGTCTCCCACATGGGTGCCATCTTCTACTGCTTTCCAGGGCCATAGCAGAGAGCTGGATTGGAAGTGGAGCAGCCAGGACTCGAACCGCCGCCCATATGGGATGCCGGCACTGCAGGCGGCGGCTTTACCCGCTACGCCACAGCGCCGGCCCCAGGAGGTGTTCTTAGTTAACTGCTTTCATTTTGATGATCATTTTGAAACTTTCTGTTAACTACCAGAGGCCTTCAAAAACTTCACAGATAGTGTGTATTATGAAAAAGCTGTGCTTATATTTCAATTTACCTCAAAATTAACTTATCTTTTAATTCCATTTTCCACAAACTTTGAAAATACTTATTTCTTTTTTCCCCACACAGCTTTTATTTGAGGAATACAAACTTCAACACCTTCCTATTTCTAAAATCAAATCTAAGTGCAGTGAAAAATCATGGAAGTGTTCATTGTATAACATTTAAAAAAAGATTATTTGAAGAGCAGAGTCACAGAAAGACACACACACACACACACACACAAGAAAGAGAGACCCTCCATCTGCTGATTCACTCCCCAGATGGCCTCAACACCCAGGCTGAAGCCAGGAGCCTGGAACTCCATTGGGGTCTCCCACGTGGGTGGAGGGGCCAAGACCTTGGGCCATCTCCTCCTGCCATTGTCAGAGAGCTGGATCACCAGTGGAGCAGCTGGGACTCAAACAGACACTTCAGTGTGGGATGCTGGAGATGTAAGTCCAGTGAGCCTGCTGCACCACCGTGCTGGCCCCAGAGTAAGACCTTTTATGCAAATTGTTTTCAAACTGGGCATCCCTCAAAGGTGAGCCCTCAAAGCCAGTCTCAGGATTTTTTTTTTTTTTTGAGATGTGTGTGTGTGTGTGTGTGTGTGTGTTTGAAACAGTCACAAGCATTCTCCAAGTGTGAAAAGCTCTAACTTGTACTGTGACGTATTCATCGACCATGCATTTCTCCATTGGTTTAATTACCCGGCATTTACTGGATGTCTATATGTTTCAGGGCAAAAGACACCAGGAAAAAATCACATTCCCTTCCTGGCTTTGTAGAGCCATGGTGCAGTGAGTGAGCAAGATGGGAGGGAACAACTGGGATCCAGAAGGAAACTGACACAGTGCCTGTGCACGCACGGCCATGAACATGTCTGCAAGGCATTCCTGATGAACATGAGGTTGAGACGCTGGCTCTGCCACCAGAAGAGGTCATCGTTTACAAAAATCAAAAAAAGGGGGGCCAGCGCCATGGCTCACTTGATTAATCCTCCACCTGCTGTGCTGGCATCCCATGTGGGTGCTGGGTTCTAGTCCTGGTTGCTCCTCTTCCAGTCCAGCTCTCTGCTGTGGCCCAGGAGTGCAGTGGAGGATGACTCAAGTCCTTGGGCCCTGCACCCACGTGGGAGACCAGGAAGAAGCACCTGGCTCCTGCCTTCGGATCAGCGTGGTGCGCTGGCCACAGTGCGCCAGCCGTGGCGGCCATTGGAGGGTGAACCAATGGCAAAAGGAAGACCTTTCTCTCCGTCTCTCTCTCTTACTGTCCACTCTGCCTGTCAAAAAATAAAATAAAATAAAATAAAAAATACAAAAAGGGGGGCTGGCGCCATGGCTCACTTGATTAATCCTCCACCTGTGGTGCTGGCATCCCATATGGGTACTGGGTTCTAGTCCCGGTTGCTCCTCTTCCAGTCCAGCTCTCTGCTGTGGCCCAGGAAGGCAGTGGAGGATGGCCCAAATCCTTGGGCCCTGCATCCGCGTGGGAGACCAGGAAGAAGCACCTGGCTCCTGGCTTCAGGTCGGCGCAGCACCAGCCATGGCGGCCATTTTGGGAATGAACCCATAGAAGGAAGACCTTTCTCTCTGTCTCTCTCTCTCTCACTTTACCTGTCAAATAATAAAAAATAAATAAATAAAAGAAAAAGAAGTTACAAAATAGTTAGCAGCAGGTTAAGGCCACCCACTTTGCATATGGACACCAGTTCAAGTCCCTGCTACTCCACTCCTGATTCAGCTTCCTGATAATGTACCTGGGAAGCAACAGATGATGGCTCATGTACTGGAGTCCCTGCCACCCACATGGGACACCCAGATGGATTTCCTGGCTCCTGGCTTTGATCTGGCCCAGCGCTGGGTGCTGTGGTCATTCAGGGAGTGAACCAGTGGATGGACGGTCTCTCTCCCTCTGTTTTCAAGTAAATCTTTTTTACAGAAGATTTATTTATTGACTTTGAAAGAATTACCAAGAGAGGGAGAGATAGAAATCTTCATCTGCTCGTTCACTCTCCAGATGTCTCAGCGGCCAGCACTGGGCTACGCTGAAGCCAGGAGCTAGGAGCTTCATCTGGGTCTCCCACAGCAGGGGCCCACATATTTGGGCATCTTCCGTTGGTTTCCCAGGCCATTAGCAGGGAGCTGGATCAAAAGCAGAGCAGCTGGGACACAAACTGGCGCCCATATGGGGTGCTGGCATTGCAGGAGGCGGGTTTACTCCCTATACCACAATGTTGGCCCCTCAAGTAAATAAATCTTTCAAAAGTAGGATAACAAGATTACTCCTGGGGCTGGTGCTGTGGAGTAGCAAGTAAAGCCGCCACCTGCAGTGCCGGCATCCCATATGGGCGCTGGTTCAAGTCCTGGCTGCTCCACTTCCAATCCAGCTCTCTGCTATCACCTGGGAAAGCAGTAGAAGATGCTCAAATGCTTGGGCCCCTGCACCCACATGGGAGACCCAGAAGAAGCTCCTGGCTCATGGCTTTGGATCAGCGTAGCTCGGGACATTGCGGCCATTTGGGGAGTGAACTAGCAGATGGAAGACTTCTCTCTCTCTGCCTCTCCTTCTGTCTCTCTGTAACTCTGACTTTCAAATAAATAAATAAATCTTTTTTATTTTAAAAAAAATATAATTCCTAATGCCTATTCAAGAAACTAACCTTATTTGCGAGGGAGTATGGAGAGATTCAAGCTTATGGGCACTCTCAAAAGCAGCAGTGTTTGTGGTCAAAGGTGTTGGTGGGGATTGGTGGACTCTGCACTTTTAGGCCAAACCTGAGGCCGGCTGGTTTTCCTGAAAGACATAGGGAGGGAGACAGTCGATAGGGCTTGCCTGGGATCACACCAAATCTCAACCACTGACCTTGGCAACTATTCCTTCAAAAGAGCTGAACTTGATAGGCTTGTGCCCCAGGACGTATCAGCTGACAATCAGCAGAGCTTGACAGCTTGGTGTGTTGAAGGAAAGAGTGGAAGAGAGCCATGCCCAAATCGCTGTCGTCCTAGGGTGACCAAGCACACGTGGGGCTGCACACTGTGGAGCAGCAGCAGAGGCTAACCACTGCCAGGGAGGAGAAAGCAAATACTCCCTGAAATATTCCAGCCAGTCATCAAATAAACAAACAAATCATAGCAAACCCCAGAGCGGGACCAGCACCCAGGGTTGCTACAATGTATTATCTAAAATGTCCAGTTTCCAAAAAAGACTTAGGAGACAAGCCAAAGAAATAGGAGAGTATAATCAGCACATTGCGAACCAGCAGGCAACAGAAACTGCCCACAGAGAAACTCAGTGTCGGATTGTGCAGACAAAACTTTCAAAGTAACCACTACAAATATCAATGAACTAAAGGATACCATACTTTTAAAATGAAAGTAAATAAAGGCATGATTACAATGTTGCACTAAACAGAGATATAATTTTTAAAAAGAGACAAGTGAAAACATCTGAAAAGTAAATTAATTGAAAAGAAAAATTGACTAATCAATAGTGTATTTAAACCAGCAGAAGAATTAGAGAATATGAAAATAGAATGGTAGGGATTATGTTTCCAGAAGAATTGAGAAAAATATAATTATGAAAATAATAAAGTTTCAGAGAAATGTGGGACACTATGAAGGGCAGGATACCTACAGTAAGAGTATCATATGGAGAAGAGAGAGAGAAAAAGGACAAGAGAAAACATCTGAAGATTTAATGGCCGAAAATTTCCCAAATTTACTGAAAAATAATAATTGAGAGGCCTAGGAAGCTAAATGAACCCAAGTAGGATAAAAAGAAGATGATCCAGAAACAGGCACATTGTAATAAAAATACTGAAAATCAAACACAGAAGGAGTGGGCATTGTGCCACATCGGGTTAGCCACTACTTGGGACGCCCATATTCCGCATCAGAGAACCTGGGATTGAGTGTTCCCTCCACTTTTTTAAAAAAATTTATTTATTTGAAAGTCAGAGTTACAGAGAGAGAAGGAGACACAGAGAAAGAGAGAGAGGTCTTCCATCTGCTGGCTCACTCCTCAGATGGCCACAATGGCTGGGACTGGGCCAGGCTAAAGCCAGGAGCCAGGAGCTTCTTCCAGGTCTCTCACGTGGGTGCAGGGTCCCAAGGACTTGGGCCATCCTCTGCTGCTTTCCCAGGCATAATAGCAGGGAGCTGGATCAGAAGTGGAGCTGCTGGGACTTGAACTGGCATACGTATGGGATGCCAGTGTTGGAGGCAGCAGTTTTACCAGCTGTGTTACAACACCGGCCCCCTGCCTCCACTTTTGATCCAGGTTCCTGCAAATGCACACCCTGGCAGGTACTGATGGTTCAA